ATATTAAATTTATATACTAAAAAATTTTTTTTATTAAATTTATATACTATTTAATTTTTATAACCCAGTTTGCATCCACTGGGATTTGGTTTCTCGTTATCAAATACTGAACGAAGATTTTATTCACGATTTTAAATACCATCTTTTCTGGTGTTATATTATTGAATATCAGAAACTAGATCATAAATATATCGCTGAAAACTCTCACAGTTTGTTAGTCTACATACTTCAAGATATTAGTAACATTGTTGATGACATAATGGAAAAATTAAATAAATTCGATGAATAAGAAGAAGAAAATTAAAAATCTGTAACATCGATTTTAAAGAAATAAAAAAATAGTTAACAGTTTTTTTTTAAATCTAGTAATTAATTGTATTATCGCGATATTTCTAAATCGTTGATAAAGAAAAAACTTACGTTCTGTGTGGGACGAGATGTTGGTAAAAAAGAAGTAAGTCTATGACTAGATGTTGAAATGCAGGGGAGGGTTTTCGGTGGATTAATTAAAGAATGCAGTTGCAAGGTTAACTTCAGAGGACCGATTTGGGTGTAGAGAAATATTTTGGTATTGTATGAGAGAAATATTTTGGTATTGTATGAGAGAATTTCTCTCCAATAATTCCGTTATTTAAGAAAATATATTACATCTATACTTTATTTCGTTATCGTTTTAATTTTGTTTATTAAATTCTTATACAAATTAAATATACTGTATCGGTCTTTATTTCGATATAATTCAAAAAAATTTTTTTTTAATATTAAATTTATATACTAAAAAATTTTTATAACCCAGTTTCGACTGCGTTCNAAGATGGCGGCGCTTGACGTTTGACGTTCACGTTTTAGTAATGAAAACTTCGGCCACAACCTCTCTATAATTTGCTATTATTATTATTATTATTATTATCAAATTTAATTTTAAATAATGTAAACATATTATAATAGTAAATATATTTGTAATCTCTTACTATAAAATTTTTGTAATTGTGAGATTTTGTACTTGGCAAAACCTTAGTTCAGAAAGGACTCTGTTGTTTATTTTCTTGTTTATTAGATACTGCAGAGATTACGCCAGTGAAGTTGTTTTGAAGTGTAAAAATTCTCGCTTATTAAATTAATGAGTTTGTGTGAATCAACTAGGAACTCGGGAGAAGTGATTTTTCTTCAATTGTATGCTTTTATATAAGTAAGAAGGAAATGTAATTAGCATACTTGATGCATTGTGTAGGAATAGCATGTTATGTAGATTTGTGGTAGGTTAGTCTAGTTTGTAGATTTTATCAGTAGTATTTTAAATCCCCAATTATTATTGAAATATTCTTAACCTGCGTTATGTACAGGTGCCAGTGCTCAAATAGTTCAGAAACACGTCTAAATTTCAAGTTAGCACAGTGAAAGTTGCGTATTCGAGAAAACTGTATAAATTTAATTAACCTGAGTTTTGTCTGGGCCGACTGACGTGCAATCTAAATATGTTTTAAATGTTCGTTAATAAAAATAAATCCAGTAACTTGAGTTGAGTAACTTTTCTAGCTGGTACCGAATTTTCGCGGAATGACCGGCATGCCTGTCTAAGCGCGAGAAACCATGTAATCAGACCTTCTGCTCTATGGTAAAAGCAGCGTGCCGGAAACCCTGAACTTTCACGCTAGCTGGTCTTCCCCGTTTTTATGCAACATGGCGATCACTCCGCGAAAATACAGTCCGAGATTTTATTTAAAAATAGCTTGTATTACAGTATTAAGGAAAAAGTAAATACAGTAATACCTCGACTTACGCTACCCCGACTTACGCGAACCCGGAGTTACGCGATTTTCAACTCTCGTCGATTCGTCTTTTGTTTGAGCGCCATGCAACTCGTGATTACTATTTCCTCCCACACTATTGTTTAGCTTGCATGTTCGGACGTGTCGCGCAGAATTGACACATAACTACAATTTGTGTTATTTCTTTCTATGTTTGTTATATCTATGGAGACTTGACAGACTCTATATGGTAATTTCTTGTAAACGTGAACGAATCAAAAGACGAAATAAGATTAGCAAGAACATTAATTAGCTCACATACATTCGATTTGGATTTTACACAAATTGCGAAATTATACCCCGACTTACGCAATTATCGCTCACATAAGTTCGGGGTATTACTGTATGCGTGTTGCTTCATTTTTTTAAATCAGTTTTTGTTATAAAAACTGGTTTTTTTAATCTTTATTTGCTATAAAATGGCAAAAATCTTAATTTTGAGGTAGGTATGAGTTTAAGAAGAAAAGTATGTATGTTAATAGCGAATAAAATCTTTACGCATCTCCAGATATGACAATCCTTTATTTTCTCATTCTCTCGAACTTTAAACACGAAAACTTAACAGTAACAATGCCCCTCGTAAACAAGCCACCATAAAAAATTTAATATCTTAATCACTAGCCCGTTCTGAGATACTTTCTGTGTTCAACGCGTATGAAAACGTGGAGATTTGAAAAAAAATCCAGAGGGTCAAATTTCACACGACTTCAATAATATCCCTTGTTATGTATACATAACTCTTGAGTAATAGCGCAGATTACGTTACAGGCAGGACTGATTTAAAGTATATTTTAAAAAAATCTTCATAAAGCAGACAACTCTTTTTAAAACGAATATATTTTAACTCGCGACTGTCCTTTGTAGCCTCCAGGGTGCACTGAGAAGCAGAAACATATCAAGTGTGTACCAACTTCTTCGGCCCTTTTTTGTTTGGAGGGAACTTAAAATAACAAACTTAGTCAAATGATCCTGGTATATTAAAATAAACTTGTAGTTTCTATCGAATTTAGACTAAAAATCTGTCAGATCTACTTGACATTTGGAATTCATATGTGAAAATACCCTTGACTTAACAACATATTTCGTCCCCGTGTTTTTTTTTTTTTTAATGTTACTTGCAAACGCTCAAAAACAACTTGATATCTCTTTGAATGATATTTATGTAACGATGATTCAGTTCTTTTATCCTCCTATCTCTGCCACCACGTTTAATAAAAATCTCTGTTTCGTAGAAAATATCAAACAGATCATTACTTAAACAATAAGATATTATCTCTGCTTCTGTACCTTCAAATAAAACTATTAAATTTTTCATTCCTTGAACTTCCAGGACATCATAATGTTGAATTAATTATAATCTCTAGGTTTTTTTCTTCTTGTCGGTTATTCTACCTATCCTCATTTCTCGTATAATTCGTAATAACTTTTCATCAGTTAGCGAAGAACTATTGTCTTTTTGATTACACTCACTTAGAAAGAATTCGAATTTCTCTTTTATCACCTGTTTCTTATTCATATCACAAAAAATTATACAAAAAATAATTAAAAGAAATGTAATTACAAAAATTTTAGAATTGTCTGAGCACTGAGCAACACTAGAAAGAAAGACGGTAAACAACTGATAACTTTACTAAAAACCCGAAGCCCGATAAATAAAAGAAATGTTTCTTCTACACTGTCCTAAATTATTTAATAAATTATTATAATTATTAATTTAGATAAGACATGGCGCCTTACGTCTACCTCTAGTACCAAATTATTTAATAAGTAATATGGTAGTCGAGGTAGATGTAAAAGCGCCATCTCGTAATAACGGATTTATGGCTCGATTGTTTAATGTGATTGTTTGGATGAATTGATAACTTAAATGGACACTTGTTGGGATGGCTCCAACTCGTTATCTTCATAATTGATATTATTTTCTGACCTTTGAGAAACAAAAGCAATTTTTATTTAACCAAACGGTGGTCGTTATTTTATGCAATTCCTAGTTAAAGTATACAATGTTAAAACATTATACATTTTAACGAACCTGTTTAGGTATTATATGAAATAACTAGATATTCTATAAAACAATAGATTATAGACAATACCGGGAACATACACATAACAGTTGGGAAAGTAATAGCGCAGACAACGTTACAGGCACGACTATTTAAAAGTAATTTTCAGGAAAACTTTCTAAGGCAGACATCTCTTTAAAACAAACAGATTGTAACTCATTAGGGTTCTTTATAGACGGGTTTTTAATATTATTATTAATTTTTTATTGTTTCATTATTA